CCCCCACCCCCTCCCCCACTCACTGGCTCCTTCTGTTGCCCTGACCACACTGTGAACCTCTGGAAGGCTGGATGCAGGCTGCTGCTCTTCTGGGGTTCCCCACCCACAGCCCAGGAAGGGCAGGTGCTCACTAGGAACATACAGCCCACCGAATGGCCGTGGAGCCACCACTGCCCCCCAGACTGGGCTCGGGCTGACAGGCCCGGCTCCCCACCCCACCAGCAGATGGACAGGTGACTCCTGAGACCCTGTTCCACATCTGTGCACTCCCTCTTGTGGAAACTAAATGACAGTACATGTAGCAACTGCTCATCTCGGTCACTGTCACTCTCAGGGAAGTAGCAAATGTGGGGGCTTCTGGAGACTTGCAGCACCCAGGGTTGGGAGAGCCCTAAGAGAGCCATATCCAATCCTTCACTGGTGGAGAAGCTGGGGTCCAGAGGGCAGAGGCAGTTGGGTGGGTAAGGGGAAGCTGCTTCCAGGCCGTGTGACCTCTCTGTGTCTGTGCTTCCCATTGGAAAATGGAACCAATAATCCAAGTGTTCCCTCGGCTGACCTGACAGGGCTGACTGGCAGGGCTGGGTGCTCACCAGGGTGCTCTGGGGAGGGGATGAGCTGCTTCATGGTAGGGAGGCACGTACCCAAGGGGGCTCTGTTCTCAGCTGTGGTGCCGGCCCTCAGCACACCACCTGGCCCAGAGGAGTTGTCGCCATCTGCTAGGCTCCTCAGCCTGGCAGGCGGCCAAGACTCGGGGTTGCTGTTTCTAACAGCGTCCCAGGGCCTCAGTCCAGGCCCGTTATGTTGTACTCCTGGGTGGGGCATGGGCAACAGGCACCTGTGTTTAGGTTTCCACCATAGGGTGTGTACAGAGACAGAGAGGGAAAGTGAGAACTCACCCCCCAGGGGACAGCCACACAGTAGGCCCTTCTCCATTCTTTTGCGATTTTGGGCATGCACGCACACGCGCCTGGAGTGATTTTCCAACTGCCAGGCCCAGGGCTTGCATTGCAGTCAGCCATATGGGAGTCTAGCACTTAACCCATATCGCCTGCTACCCTTAACCGCCAATCTCTCCAATTTTCATTTTTTAAAAAATTATTTAATTTTATTTGTTATTATTGTTAATTTGCTACAGGGCAGATGTGTTCACCAGAGGGAGTGAGAAGGCAAGCTGCCAGGTCCAGGCCTCGAACTAGGGTCAGCTATGTGGGAGTCCAGCGAGTCCCAACCACCTGCTTTCCCCCCAATCTTCATTTTTAACCACAACAGATTATTTGTGAACTGGCAGTACAGGCACACGGTGCAAAGGGTGGTTAGTAAAAGCACCCCACTCTGTGCCTGCCTGCCTCCTGGACCCCTCCCCAGAGGCAGGCCCTGCGGTGAGCCTGTGCTCCGGAAGGCGGCCCCGCTGCTCTTGGTTCGAGACTCTACGTGATGAGCAGGGACTGTGAGCAGTGCTTTGCTCCCCTGCGCCCGGGTCCAGCATGAGGCCCACAGGTGTCTATCCCTGCACCAGGCGACCTTCCACGAGCTTTACGTATAGCAGTTGTTTTTTCAGAAGTTTTGCTATAGGGTACATGCACTCACCAGCGATATGAGAGAAAGGGAGAAAATGAGAAATTACCCTCAGGGGGGCTGGCCACCTCGCAATCCCTTCCCCTCCAGTCAGCTCTCAGGATTTGGGGCATTGAGCCTGGCACGTTTTTCAAGCCGCCAAACCCAGAACTGGAGCTGCAGAGTCGGCCATCTGGGACCCCGCTGCCTTAACCACCACACGACCAGATGGCCCTGCTCATGTAAATCTTCCTACTAGCACCCATGAGTTACTACTTTCTTTTCTTTCTTTTTGGAGAGGCTTTTGCCATAGGGCGCGTGCACTCGCCAGAAAGACAGAGAGACAGAAAGTGAGAAATCACCCCCAGGAGGAATGGCCATGCCACAATCCCTTCTCCTCTGTTCTCTCGGGATCTTGGGCATGCACTGCACATGTGCCTGGCGTGAGTTTAAAGCCACCGGGTCCAGGACTCGAACTGTGGTCGACTACATGGGAATCGAGCGACATAGCCATTATGCCATCTGTTGGTCCCAATAGTTACTACTTTCATCTCCATCTTAAGGTTGGGAGACTGAAGCAGAGTGCTGATAAGTGGCAGAGCCAGGACTTGAACCCAAGTCGCTTGGCATCCCTATTTCCAAGAATATGTGAGGGCTGGCTGGGTGGCACAGCAGTAACACGCTGGCCAAGTGAAGCTGGATCCATATGGAATATCCCGGGTTTGGTTCCTGGTCAACCCGGCACACCAGATGGAACACCTATGACCCTGGCTGCCCAGGAAGGCTGATGGGGAGTCAAGTACCTATTGAGGGTGCCTGTCCCTCTCTCATGAAAAAAAGAAACTTGAAAAAAATGAATGTGGGACCAGCAGATGGCGTAATGGTTATTGGACTCCCACACAGTCAACAGCGGTTCGAGTCTTGGACTCAGTGGCTTAAAACTCACACTGGGCACATGTGCATGTGTGCCCAAGATCCCAAGAGGGAAACGGAGAAGGGATTGCAGCCTGGCCATTCCCTGGGGGTGATTCCTCGCTTTCTGTCTCTCTGTCTCCCTGTCACTCTAGTGAGTGCACACACCCTATGGCAAAAATCTCTCTCAAAACAATGCATGGATTGGGACCAGCAGATGGCGTAATGGCTACGTCGCTGGACTCCCATGTAGCTGATCGCAGTTTGAGTCCCAGACCCGGTGGCTTAAACTCACGCCAGGCGCGTGTGTGTGCGTAGTACCCAAGATCCCAAGAGGAGAAGGGATTGCGGTGTGGCCATCCCCCCTGAGGGGTGATTTCTCACTTTCTGTCTCTGTCTCTTTCTGTCTTTCTGGCGAGCGCACGCACCCTATAGCAAAAACCTCTCCAAAAAAAGAATGTGTGGATGAATAAACACAACATACACCACGTCCTGGTCAACAGGACAAAGTGACAAACTCTTCTACCCACCCTCCACCTCGACTCGCTGTGACCCCATACGTGAGGCCCCAGGTCTCCCAGCAGCACGTCTCCAGCTGCCTGTGAGCACCCCTGGGAGGTCACCCACCTTCGGAGCGCAACGTGGTCCCCATCTCCAGGGGAATGACGAGCAGCGGGAAGACCCCACTGAGCCCCACCATGAGTGAGCCTAGGAGGGAGCAGATCCAGGTGTCCAGCCTCTCCGCACTCAGCAGGGCCCCTGAGGACTCGCTCTCCTTGTTGTCCAGGCGACAGGCTGCTGCAGCCCCCCGGCTCCAAAGTGCCTGCTGGGAGCCCCCAGCCCTTCCGAAGAGCTCCAGGGCAAGGGCAGTGAGAAAGAGGAGCCTCTGGCCCGCCATGCCACAACCAGGACAGGGACATCCAGGCATGCCACGTACTGAAAACACAAAGGCACTTACGTGAGCGGCCACCCTTGACCGCACACCTGGTTAGGTGACGTGGCATCTCCCCCTGCCCCCCTTAGCTGGCCTCGCCCAGGGCACCTGAGGGTCTGCTCCTCCCTGCTCCCACTCCCAGGGCCACACAGTTTTTCCCTCTAAGCCAGCTCCAGACAGTGTGTCAGCACGTCCGCCTGAGGCTACGCTTTCCTAATGACAGGGTGAGGCGCAGGCCAGGCCCAGCCGGGTGTCTCTGGCTGCCAGCAGAGGCACTGCTGCCAGGACGTGCCTGGATGAGGACACCCCAGGGACCCAGGCCAGCGCTGTCCTGGTAGATGGGCAGCTTTTGGAGGCCCAGGTGGGCCTGAGCAGCAGAGCTAGGACAGGACCATCGAAGCTCCCTCCTAGGAAATGGACCCAATGTCCCTGGGGCAGTGAAAAGACAGGAGGTGGGGCTGAGTGTGAGAAAGGCCCCTGGGCCAGGGATGCCTCAGATGCAGGAGCGCAGGCTGCAGACCTGGAGGTGACAGCCTTGGCTGGCTGTGTGACTGCCCCCAAGCTGCATGGTCCTCCTAGCACAGCTGTGAGGAGATGCGCTTGGGCAGGCATGGCACGGAGGAGGCACGGAGAGGCCCTCCTGACTCTGGGGGCCTGAGCTGCGGCAGAAACGTGCCTAGCCGGGTCACAGGGTGTGGATGTGAGTCAACCGAGCGAGAAGTTCGATCTGGAAACTCGGGCGTGAGGTCTGCCCTGTCTCATGCTGGCTGTGACCTTGAGCGGCTGTTCCTGCCTCAGTTTCCTCATCTGATGGAAGGGGCAGAGAGAAAGCAGCTGCCTCTGGGGGTGGAAACGATGCCCACATGCGGAACCTCCAGATCTGGGCTAACCCGAGCCCCTATGAAGCCGGCTGGGTGCCGCTGGGGGTCAGAGGCAGGAGTGGGCATGGACGGGTTTGGAGGCCGAGGCGGGTCGCGCAGAGGCGCGGGGACCCCAGGGCTGGGAGAGAAGGGGCGTGAGTGAGAGTCCGAGAGAAGGAAAAGAGACAGCAAGAGACGGGGAAGTGAAGGGCAGGGGGACGGAGGCAGGGACTCGGCGGGGGAGGAGAGAGGAGAGATGGAGCGGAGTGCGGGGCGACGCGGGAGGCGCCCAAGGCGGGCAGATGGAACTCCCGGGCAGCAGGA